CTGGTGGAGTTCATGGCAGCAGAGGTGAAGAAGAAGCAGAGACCACAGTGGTCTGCTAGGATGAGGCAGGCTTAGACTGCAACTGGGAAAGGAGGAAGTAAAAAGGAACAATTAGGAAAATACTGAGACCTGCTGGTCGAAAAGTAGGAGAGATCATTTTTTTCCATGTTCACTTACTCTACTTCATGTTCCTCTCTGTCCTAAAGATCAACAGAAAAGGAAACCATGAGATTTGCCCAATCATGCCAGTGCAGAAGTAACACCCTTTTTAAGAGTGTGTGATTGCAGTCAGTGTAAGCTTATCTAGGACAATGCTGCCACCAAAAGGCACACCCAGCTGTTACCTTCTTTGCTTCTGTAGGTTAGCATTTGAGCGTGAGACGTGCTCAGCCACAGTGTTATGATAAGCTGTGCTTGTGAGTCAGCACACGTCACACAGCGCAGGGTCAGAGCCCAGGTTGTTCTCTTGCAGTGGGTAATGCATTAAAGGATCTGCCTTCCAAGGGACACCTCAGAAAAAGGTTACACTTGTCAGTGATTTCTGAAGACACTTTGTCACCACTTACCTATGTCATTTGGTCCTGTGTGGAGGCCAAATATCCTCATAAGCTCATCAGTTCTTCCTGCTGCACCTTCCTATCAAGTATGAAGTGATCAGTACCGGAGTCTTGGGATGTCTCTGCCAGTCTGAAAGAGGGCTGTGTCTGATGTACAACGCTGCACTTGGTACACAGCAACAGAAGTTGTGAAGCAGTGTTCAGACATCGTTGATTTTGCATATGTGCATAATAAGTATAGGAAACAATGTAAGACGTTGCAGTGGTCGTCGTAAAAGGATGTTTGTTCATCAAGTCCGTGTTAGGATAGATATACCTCAAAAGATACGTTTCTCATGTGTATGAGATTTTTTTTTTCTCTGCAGACACAAAGCTTGTATCTGGAACCTTGTCTTTGGTTCTGCTCCAGTTTTTAAAGGCTAAAGAAGAAAGGGTGGGCTTGAGTCAGAAAAGGTGTTTCATCTTACTGGCTTGTGGCTAGCCTCCTGTCCTCTCCACAAGAATCAGAGAAAGCAGAAGCAGAAAAAATACTCCTATTTTGTCACAAGGATTCCTTCTCAGCAGAGAAAGCCATAGTGTCACTCACCTGGCCACTGCGATAGATGACTTTACAACCTTCAGGACTTCTTGTTCCAAATTGCAAAGGAGCAGAGCAATCTGAGATGCCATTTGAATAACAAAAGTCTTGGAATCTGTTTAGTGTTCTGAGAATAAAGTCTGCCAGAGTAGTTTTTCCTGTTAATTAAATACCAAATGAACTATCATTTGGGGGGTGGGGGAAATAATTCCTTAAAAAAATGCCATGTTTCTGCAACATTGAAATTGCTAAGGGGAAGGGCATGGATTCACAAGAGTGTTGCTGCCTGTCGCCATGGGCTACAGCCTAATGAGTATATTAATATAACATTCTAAGTGATTGCCACAGCTTCAGAAGTGTCATTATGGGAAAAAAACATAGCGGCCTTGGGAATACTTGTCAAAATATAGCCCAGGATAGACAAACCTGGCTTTGGGGGAGTGGAGTGCCTCAGCCTCAGGCCCAAAGAAAGGCTCCTCTTACTGAAGAGTTCAGGAGCTACAGCAGGGGATGTTGCCTGCACAGTTCAATGTTGATTCCCCTCAGAAGAGCTTATGGATATCTCCTGTCTGCCGTACATGCACATCATCTGAGTTCTGAAGCTGATGTGTGAAATCTCCTCAGTGGATGAAGTCTACACACCATGGGCAGATACTTACCTCTGGGAGTCTGGTGGGCTGAAAGGACTTCCTAATTGCAGCAGAGCTTTGGAAATTTGCCTGTCTTGCCTCCTTCCACTGTCCTGGGGCAGCTATCACTTTTCCAGTGGGCATTAAGCATCACTGCCCAGAGCTATTCAATTCCATTCACTGTCCTTTATCAACTTCCCTTTCCTTGAAAGGGAATGGAGACCTTTTATTTTAAGAATGCTCTTAGAAGATGCAAGTGGCATGTCTGAGTGTACTTCGGGAGCTATTACAGGAATAGGGAGAAAATGTTTCTGCACAGAGATCTCTCTCTTTTTCTTTTTCATACCCAAGGGAATTTTTTTAAGCAACTTCGTGTCAGGATGCCAGTTCTCTTGCTTCCGACTCTTTGTTCTAGGATCAAACACTGTTAAGTGAGCTATCCATCTTGATGCAAAGTCATTGCTGTTAGTGGATTGAAGTAGAAATGCCCTTTACTGGTCTAGGAAACTGATACAGACCGGGGCAGAATCTACCAGCAGAATATCTTCGTCTAAATGAAAAAGATTCTCAGTTCCCAGAAGGGTTCTATTTAACAAATAATGAGCAGAGTATAGATATTTATGGTATGAGTTGCAAAGACAAACATCAGTTTGGGGAGATGGCAGATGGTATCGTTTAATTCTTACCAAACTCTTAGTCATCAACAATACAATTCAAACAAACACATAAAGAAAGACAGAGCTTGTATGTTAATGCTGCCTCTTTGAAATATTATTTTCTATGGGGATGCCCGTGTCCTACCTCCCTAGCAAATGCTTTGGACTCTCAGCTATCATTTTTTTGTGTTGGGAAGCAGGCTCACTGCTGTTCAGAGCAGCGCTGCCCACCTGCTGGCCTCCAGGACCTAGCTGGTCACAAAATCTGAGCTTATCGCACCCCACACTGCGACGTGCACTCAGAATATTGAAGAACTGCAGTTGGCATGGGATGAGCAGTTATCCCATCAGGTTTTGTTAGATGATTGTCAGGGAGAGTTGTATGAGATTCCTTGTGAAGATAATTAGTTCGGGGAAACTTCATTGTGTGGGAGGGAGTAGAAACACTATTCTAATCTGCTTTCAAGCAGTTTTTACTGAAGCAAATGCTAAAGGCAAAAGCCGTATATTTGAAGGCAAAAGGAGATTGCATTGGCTCTGTCAGAAGGCTATATTTTAAAGTTTTTGGTGTTTATAGCCTTGATGTTGGAGGATTTAGATCTTAAGAATCCTTATTTATGTTGGTGCTGATCCTTGTCTTAAAAGTCCTTATGATATATAAGATAATAGATGTCTGTTCTGATGCTGTTTTAGAAACGGTTAAGAAGTGGCCATCAGCAGATAAATAGAAACAATTTCTTCTTTTTTACAGCAGTGTAGTAAACCTAAAGATAATGGATTCTTTTCCTGGGGAAATAAGTGCTAAATATAAAATTAGGAATACTGAATCCCTAATGTGTTTCCTGGGAAAAAGCACATGCCAGCTTATTTAATGTCATATAAGAGTGTAAATATATAAATTGGTAGGTGTGATTAAAGTTCTTCATGCAAATATGTTTCTTTAGTTGTTTTTCACCAATATCCGCGCTACCTTTTATGTACTATAATGGTTTATTTTATTTCAGAGCTCTACATCCACCATGTTGCCCTGTGGACCAGCTTTGTCCTTTGTTCGGTGTCTGGTGCGGAAGAAGAACGTCACTGGTGAAAGTCTTGAGGACTCCAAGTTGTGCCGATGCTTATCGACGGTGGACCTTATAGCCCTAGGAGTAGGAAGTACCCTTGGTGCTGGTGTTTATGTCCTTGCTGGAGAAGTAGCCAAATCCGATTCTGGACCTAGCATCGTCGTTTCTTTCCTCATTGCTGCGCTGGCATCTGTGATGGCAGGTCTCTGCTACGCTGAGTTTGGTGCTCGCGTTCCCAAGACTGGTTCTGCGTATTTGTACACTTACGTAACTGTCGGTGAACTGTGGGCTTTTATCACTGGTTGGAATCTCATTTTATCCTATGTTATAGGTAAGCTTAAGAACAAACACAGGTCTCAAGGGTTTCTGAGACAGCAGATATAAGATACGGATTTGGGTCTGACTTTCTTTTCTGTCTCTGCACTTAGCTACTATTGCTTTTTACTCCTGCTGGGATCAAATAACCAAGGTAATTCGATTAGGTTATTTCCTCCTGTGCATCACCATTATAAACAGATTTTTTGCAAGATGCTTTTGCAAACAGTCTGTCTTCAGCAGCATGAACTAAATAACTTGTATGAAAATTGTGTCAGACAGTTCAATGATGATGCACAAGAATAAACAGGATTTCTTTGCTGTCTTTGGTCAGCAAGAATAATTTCAGTAAAATCAATAAGCATATTTTTTTCTGAATATACACAGCAAGGACATTTACAGGGACCCCATCACTATAATATCTCACTTCAAGAAAGTCATGAAGTTTAAGTACTAACTTCTTACTATAACCTCATGCCAATTAAATGGTGTCCTATAATGTAATCCCATAAAATACAACGTTGACCAGATCTGAATAAAATCAATGCTTATATGGCAGATATTAAAATAACTATTTTCAGTGCTTTAGCAGAGACAACATTTTTTGATTCAAAAATGTTTTCTTCCAGAGGCACGTGTTCCAAGCATCCATTATATCGTGTATAAGCATGCCTAGCTCTATATATATACCTAACTAGAGGACTGTTGCCCAAATCACTACAAAATCAATATGCCCAAGTATTGTGTTGAAGTGTATTTCATGATAGGAGAGTGGTAAAAATAAGATGATATTTAGCCGTGGCCACATACACATTTTACCAGAGGAGAGTATCAGTCTTAAATACTGCCTCCAGCAATATACATCTTCCTAGTGATTTTTTTGCTTTACTTCCAAGTGAACAAACTTTCCTTCGTGTTCTTTCTTAAACTGCTTTCTTACATTGCTTTATATTGTTTAACATGTGCCATATTGTAACTTTAGAAATAAGTGTCTTCCAGGGTGACATCAAATATAAATTATACAGAAATAATTTCTGCAATATTTTGGGAATAAATGAGGTACAAATTTGTATATTTTAGTTGTAGAACAATATGCTGTCATTTAACTATGTAGAAAAATTCTATAATGTTAAAATCCCTTGGCAAAAAAAATCACTGTTTTAACACAAGCTCTCCTTTTTGAAATGCAAGTAGTGACATGCTTAGTTTTATTTCTTTTTCAGTAGAAGTAACTGTATCCTGTATGTAGGCAAAACTCTAAACATGCATGTATTTTATGAAGGTACATCAAGCGTAGCAAGAGCCTGGAGTGGCACCTTTGATGAACTTCTTGGAAAACAAATTGGTCATTTCTTCAGAACCTACTTCAAAATGAATTACTCTGGACTAGCAGAGTATCCTGACTTCTTTGCTGTATTCCTTATATTGCTTTTATCAGGTAAGACATATATATGGCTTCATTTATGGTGGTTGTGATGTCAAACTATTTCTTACAGACAAAAATGCTAAGTTGTAGTTTGTGTTTTATCAGAAATACCTTTATAATGTCTGAGATGTTTAGATGTGCATGTGTGTATTGACACAATAACTCTGGGAATTAAATTTATATAATCTAATTTTAATGTGTACCCTCTTTTTTTTTAAGCTGAGACATGAAATAATCACTTGTCAGTACTTTTTTATAAAACCCATGATACAGATTGATGATAACAGGAAAATTATAGAGTTTTGTGTGTTTTTTATGGCTTTATCACTGGTAAATGCTTTCAGAGGGACCCTGAGGTTAAGCTCTGTAGTTTGGTAATGTGATGTGCTCTCCTTAAATCACATATTGTATATGTAGTGGGTATTTGTAAGGGGTTTTTTTCCCCTCTAAATTGTTAACTTATTCAGTATAAAATAACTTTCCCCTTTTTAGGGAAAATAACTTTCCCTCTTCAAAAGAGTTATCTAGCCTAGAACTTGTTTGAGCTAAAGGGCACTCCAAGGTACTGGCATGGCCCAACAGAACCGGTTTGAAACCTGAGTAAACCTTTCATGACTACTCCACACGGTTCTGTTCCTTTTACATCTTTATTCATGTTTTTATCATGTTTTTAAATCACAAAAATTGACACCAGCCTTTTGAGGGATTGGAAAGCTCAAAAATACTGCAACTTATTTGCGCGTTTGCATTTAACAATTGCTTTCCACAAGGAAACGTTCTTACTGCCACCAGGAGAGAAGGAAGCAGTATGTGTATTTTAAAGTGTACGGTTTGTTTTCAGCCAGTACTAGAAGATTTCAGTATTCAGTAGAGGTTCTACCCATATCTCAAATATTTGTTGTGTTCCATCTCTCTTTAGATGAAACAAAAGCAGGAGCTTTTCTTCTCTGGAAAGTGAAACTGATGAGTTATATAGGTGTAACCTTCCGTTCTCTTCTTCTGTTACGAGGGGCTTTTTTGGACTCACTACTTGAGAAAATATTTTCATTCAACTCCTAATGCTAGAATGAGTGGCCAGTGCATCCTAAGCTTTTATTAGGTCTCTGTATATAAAAACATGAGTTCCTACAGTAGTAAGCCTTAATTTATGGCTGGGTTTGTATCTTCAATTCTTTTCTTCCTTCTGCCTCTTTTGCTTTTGTTTGTTTTACTAGAAGAAAGCAGAGAACAAAAAATACATAAGGTGCTGAAGTCCCTAATTGAAAAATGTTTGAGAACTACATTATTTAAAAGATTTAAGATGTACCTACACTGTGAGTCACATTGCAGTGTAGGTATTCCCAAGCTGACTCAACACCCATACTTCCAGAAATTTTACCTAAAATTTTTGGGGTGGTTGTCATATGGTCACTAATGTAAGCCACAAGAAAGTAGCAAAAGTAGAGTGGAATCTTGAGGAAATTAATTGTACAATTTTAAGTGTAGAATATTATTTAAATGCATTAATTTTTTAGAAGTTTTAAAAATAAATGCCTTGAGATTCAGAAGAATTTCATGCTTGCAAACAGAACATACTTTGTGAATATCAGCATTAACAATTGGTGCTGAGGCCCCTGTGTCTGCACTTAGGAAGATCAGGGAATTTACTAGACAAGGTTTAGTCCAGCATCTTGCCAGGCTTGTGGTTCAAAGTTGCCTATAGGACCAGTTCAGACCCTTATGTCTTCAGGAGTGATGGGATTGAATTTGGTATAGCTGGAATGGACCTTTCATTTTCACTTCCTCCAAAGGAAGGAGGAAAAAAACAACCTTTTGAAAAGCAGGGCACTCCACAAACCAAACTATAAAATGCTAGAGTAGATGCTGCCATCTTATATCTGTTTTCTCCATTGCCTTTGCTGCTTCCTAACATCAGTAGTAGAGATTCCTGATAGAAGAGGAAATGTTTCTCCTGTGGTTCTCCACTGCTCCTGAGTTTTCATTTGTGTCCTGCCTTTTCATCCTCACCATCATTCCTTCTTCACTTCTCGTGTGCTTGTGCTGCAAATTAACTCTCCAGGTCTCTGTGGTAAGCAGCCAAACCACCAGTGAATTAACTGGGTGGAATTCACCACTGCAGTGGGGATGGCTCAGGGCTGTGTAGACTGAGTAATTGGATTCTGAGCTGCGCAAAGCTGAATCACAGGAGTAGCAGATTATGTTTAACAGAAAATGTGATGTGCTAAGTACAAGGGAAAGTCCACAGAAATCTGGCTTGGTTCCCCGCTCCCCCCCGTCTCCCCTACAGAAAGGACTTAAAAAATTGAACATACTATGTTTCATACTGCATTAGGCTGATTAAGACACTGCCTTCTTGGAAAAACTAAGCTAAAGAAAGCATACCCCTATTTCCAATAAAAATGCCATTGGTGAAGAAAAACTTGAGCAGCTTATATGATAACTTCTGTGTTATGATAAGATAGCAAATGCCTCATTAGCAGAGTCAGAAATTTTTTAGACGTTATCTTGAGAGGCTTAAAATTTTCAGACTTAATCTCTAAATAATGAGGGAAAGCATGTATGTGATATTAGTGGAAACGCTTAGAGTGCAAAGAACCTGTGGAGGCTTTCCCAATGTATTTAATTTTTCCTGATCTGCTCACTGCCTGCTCTTCCATTAAACTGTTAGTACACTTACAGTTGTTACAAATCTAATGACACAGTAGGATCCTGATGGAATAACTTTCAGATTGTTTAAATGCACTACTCTGCAACCTAAGGCATGTGCATTTTGTATCAGACATTTTTCTAGAATCTCTGTGAATCAGTGTTTATGAACAGGAAGCATGCATTTCTTTTAAAGGTGTTATTAATGAGCTAGGAAATGGGACTCTTCCTCTGTGTTGGATATGCCCTGAAAAACTTAGAGTGAACAGATTACATTATCAATCTAATAATTTTGATTATTTTATTAATCTAATGAGTAGTTGTTCCGTAAGAAATAGATCCTACCAATCTGTTTTTACTAAGCATAGAATTCTTGTTCCTATTTTTCCTCCATCACATAAAATAGAGATATGAATTGGAATCTCAGAAAAGTAATAATTGCTCAAAGTACAATTAAACAAGCTTTCTGTTTTGTGGTTTCCAATACACTTGCCTATCGCCGTGTTGCCAGAGAGTCTAGTAAATTTGTGCTACTGCTTTTTAAAAGTATAAAATCTTGTGCTGTTTTTTTAGTATTATTCACAGTACTTGCATGTACATCTTCTTTAAAATGCCATTTTATTAGTTCAAGGGACCATTGATATCTATAAAATATTTTTATTTTATAGGTCTTTTATCTTTTGGAGTAAAAGAATCTGCATGGGTGAATAAAATTTTCACTGCTATTAACATCTTGGTCCTACTCTTCGTTATGATTTCTGGTTTTGTGAAAGGAGATGCTGACAACTGGAAAATAAGTGAAGAATATCTCATAAACCTTACTGCAATAACAGAGTAATTTTTTTTTTTTAATCAATTTACTTGCTCACATCCCAAGCAATTTTCTGTTATACTTGCTTTTGTGGTATTGCAGGTATTGTATCAACCGATAGCTCTGTTGCTGGGAATGATAAACTTTTTATTCCCTTAAAAATTGTTTTTTATTTTCTTGTTTGTAGTTTCCTTTAAAAAAAAATCTTGTCTGTAGCCATTTGAGAGGTTACTGGCTTCTTGTCCTTAAGTCATGTATTAACTGCAGTATGTGACTATGACAGCAAGAGTTGCCCACACCATTAGTGTTTTAATATATTTTGCGACAAACTGCAAAGTGAGTAAAATGATAGTTACACAATTCAGGTATTCTTCCATTTACTGTTATTTTTGTATTTTTTACAACCTTTGACATAAAAGTATCTTCTCATGCAGTTTTGTAAAGCAGAACTCTGTCCTGACGAGAACATTTTAACATGTTTTTCCGGAGTGGTAGGGGAGAAGGATGCATGTGTGTGTCCTACCAATAATAAAAAAAAAAAAGTTATTTTTCTGCTGTATTTTTGTTCTTTATAGGAATTGCTCAACCTATGAGAATGTGACAAGTTTATATGGGAGTGGTGGCTTTATGCCATATGGTTTCACAGGAACGTTGGCTGGTGCTGCAACCTGTTTTTATGCTTTTGTTGGATTTGACTGCATTGCAACAACTGGTATAGTATTTATGTGTGTGTGTGTATATGTATAAGTATATATGTATAACATGCTTTTTTTGTAAAAAATACCCACACAAACAACATAACAATCTGTCTACTGTTCATCCTTTGCTTTCTCCTAAATATCCTTCAGTTAATGTAGAATGAGTCTGAGTTCATTCCTGAATTTGGCTGTCGTTTTGGGAGGAAGGAGGAGATTTTACTGATTTTATTCCTGTCCTAAAGAAATTAATTGTTGCCTTCTAAGTCTGGGAAGTGCTTAGTATGCAATTTTTTCTGCCCAAATCGTGTTAATCACCTGCTCACTTTTACAATTCTCTGAGATGAGGTATCTCTCCTAAAGACTGGCTTATATACGGCTGGTAGGGAATGAGTACATTGCACTTATAAACTGTAGGTAAATAACTAGAAATGATGGGCTTTGAGTACTCTAAATATAGAATGTATTTTATGTACTTTAGTTTATCTCTTTTTTTTAATGCTATTTCTGGCAAGAAAATACTGAGTTTTGTTCTGTGTCACTAAGCTTATTTTATACCAGTTTTTAAAACTTCTATTACAAATATGATTCCCATAGCTTAGATTAACAAATGATTTGTCTTTGATCTTATCTTTTAAAGCTGAAGGTGGAAATGAGTAAGAATTTTTGGTGGGGCGTTTTTTTTTTCCTTTTTTCAGGAGAAGAAGTCAAGAACCCTCAGAAAGCCATCCCCATAGGAATTGTGGTGTCCCTGCTTGTCTGCTTCATGGCCTATTTTGGGGTTTCAGCTGCACTGACACTTATGATGCCATACTATTTACTAGATGAGAAAAGTCCTCTGCCAGTAGCATTTGAATATGTTGGATGGGGTCCTGCGAAATATGTTGTAGCAGTGGGATCTCTCTGTGCTTTGTCCACAAGGTAAAGACATTGAAATACTAATTTTACTGGGAAAAGCTGATGGATAATATATGACATTTAAATATATGTTCATGCGTTCATTTTGAAGGCTCAGTTCATGCAAAGGACTAGCAATAAGTATTATAAGCATGTTTTAGACTTAAGCAGGTCTCAATCACAGTAAGTGGATTAATTTAAGTCCCTTTTTTAAACTGTACTCTTATTGAACTCTACCTCTTTGGCTTATTACCCCAAAAGTTTTTATTAAAATACGTATTTTCAGACATATGACCTACAAGTTATCTTTATTAACTGATAAAATAAACCTCACCCATTTTGTCCTTTCTTGCTGTCCACTCCCAATGACTCAGCAGCTTTATGGGCTCTGAGTATTTGCAGGCAAAATTGAAGAGATGATTAATTAACTCCACTTCTCATCTTCGTTGCCTGTCTCTGTTTTCCTCCAGTAGCCAGTCTGTCTTCTGACATCATCCCTTCCTGTGGTTTCTCTGTGGGTGTTTGAGATGTAGATTATAGCTGTGAAAATATGATCATTTATTCCCCTTTGTGAAACCGTGGATGTAACCTTAACTTAACGTGTTGTTTTGATTAAAAAGATCAGGGAGGGCATGAGATATATTAGTATGTGTTCACATATATTACACCCCAATTGTAATGTGGTATAAACACTTTCATAGAATAGGACATTGCTTGATACTTGAATTTAGGGATAGAAAAATGTTGACGCCAATCCTCTACCTGAGTTTATATAGGTAAGGAGTCATTTATATGAGCTTCAGTGGTAAGAATACTGGCTGCCTTTCCAGAAAGGAAAACGACATGCCTGTTTAAGCACAAATGCTAACAGTACTCTGAGATAACCCTGTAAGCATTAGCCTGAAGAAGATGAGCACGCTGACTGTGGACAATGATTTAAAGGAAAGGAATATTTTAATGTAGAAGGGGATAGAAAGAGGAAATATTTCCAGAATGACGATAAAAGAATTGTAGGGCTGACTGAAGAATGTCATAGTTACACAGTTCACCCTAGGATTATAGTTATTTTCTATCTAGTTGTTATGGTCCCTTCATTTTGGAGGGTTTTACTGAATTTTTCCTCTATATTGATAAGCAGTAAAAGTGATATATAAGTAGAAACTAGCTTAAAGAAATTAATACTGGAAACAAAACAAACTGAGATGGTAAAACACTTTTTCAGAAATTTGAACTGCTGGTCTCTTTTACCAGTGTATTCTGAAGAATTATATTTACTCATATGGAGAGGTTAATCTTTCAGTCTGTTGACTGATGTCAGTTTAGAAAAAAACAAAGGAAATTGTATTTCATATTCCTCAGTTTAGAGGTATAATTAAGAAAAAAAGTTGGGATCATTGCTTTTGCTTCATATAATTACCTTTTACTATGTTATGTCGTGAACTTGTTTCCTCAGGGTAAAGATGTTTGTTAATATTTCTGTTATTTATATGAATGTACTTAAGGAGGGGTAGGATAAATAAATTTTACAAAGCCACAACAGCAAAAAATTTGGCAGTGGATTTTAACAGTATCCTTATTTGAAAAATAGGAAATTTAGGAAACATTATTTTTTTGAAGGGACATTCCAAAATCAGTTCATGTGCAATGAAACTTATCTCATGTGTCTAACCTTAACGCTTGTGTCTCACAAGCATTACTGGAGGTACTTAGCATCTGTGGTATGTAAAAGCTCTGCCTTCTGTAAGTGATATAGTCGACTCCCTAAAGTAAGAAAGGCAACCATTCACCTGATTGATTAAAAACTAGTGTGCTTGCTGCAGAGGTTATACTGGCTATGATTTTGCCTTTTGTCCTTTCAACGTTTTTGGTTTTCTTAATTACAATTATTTCGCTTTGAGGGAAACAAACCACCTAATTTAAGAAGTATGTTTAAAAAGAGCTTTGAGTTATCAACAGTTTAAAAGCTTTCTGTGTTCTGCTAATAACAAATCTAAATTAATTAGCTTTACTTCTTCCAAAAAAAAGAAACAATCTTAATGAAGCTTGGCTAGAGGTGCTTTAATCGAAAGAAATAATGGGCCCAAGTATAACTGTATGGTGCTTACTTTGAATTACTGTTAATCAGCAGCCTCACATGGAAATGTAGAGTGTAAGAGATGCTGCTAATGCTTATTGATTTGCTGCTGCTGCTGACTGACAGACTTTCTCCAGGAATACTAAAGCTTAATTGCATAGTTAGTGTGACCTGGAACATGTTCCTGGTCCACTAATACCCAAGAACTACAGTGATGGCAAGAGTTATTTTGCTAATCTGAATTCTCTCTGATGAAGCAATTTCATTACATAAATTAATTAAAAAAAAAAAAAAGTGCAATCAACTTTACAGGGAAAAAGAAATTTCTATTTGTGTCTGATCTGTAGTATCTTGGGCTATGGGGCTTTCTGGTTTTGTCTTACAATCATAAATTTTGTTTCTATACATGCCATTAATTAACATTGTTTATCTTGTCCATGATACAACTCTGCATGAACTGTGTTTGCCATGTTGCATGTGTTTGCTTTTTACTCAGTCTTCTTGGATCCATTTTCCCAATGCCACGTGTAATCTATGCTATGGCGAAGGATGGGTTGCTTTTCAAATGTCTAGCTCAAATCAGTTCCAAAACGAAGACCCCACTAGTTGCTACTCTATCGTCTGGTGCAGTAGCAGGTGAGACTAAGAGTTGATCCTTGTAAAGAAAGGTGCACTGTTAAACTCGTTGTGTATATGGAAATAAACCACTGTTGTGCAGCTTGGATTTGCTTTGGACTGAAATGATCAAATCAGATTGTCGCCAGGTAAAGTAGGCTACCAGTAAACTTTTCTCTACCACAGATTATGTATTTGTTGGTTAATCTCAAGTGCTTTCAAAGCCTAGGTTCAAAATAAACAACCCAAAACCAAGAACATCAGTCAAACAAACAAAAAACCAAGAGCAGCAACACAGAGCCTAAACCAAAATTAAACCTAAACCTAAACCCATTAACTCTTACAAGCTTTCTTTTTGTGTAGTTGGGTTTACCAGTAAAGCATTGTGCTTTTAATAACCTGTATTTGAACTATACATTTTTCTGTTCTAGTCTTCTCGGCTCTATGTTCCCTTTGCCCCGAATTCTGTTTGCCATGGCACGCGATGGTTTACTCTTTAGTTTTCTTGCCAAAGTGAGTAAGAGGCAGGCACCAGTCTCTGCCACCTTGACAGCAGGGGTCATCTCTGGTAAGCTCTCAAAGCCCGTGTTACTTAAAACTGAGATTTAAACACTCTATGCACGTGCATGGTACTTTATATTTTTGAAAAGGGCTGCTTGTTAACTTCCCTTGCATGTACAATGGGAATAAAATTACCAAGTAATCAAAGGGTGTAAGAACTCCAGATCATGCCAATCATGGTGGTGGTGGTGATGTCCTTAATGTCACAGAATTCAAAATGATTTTTTTTTTTTTTTTTTAAATATTGGCGTCTTGTATTGTGAATAAGCTTGTTACTTAATCTGGGTTCCTTAGGCTGTTGCTCTGCTTACAGGGTTTCCTTGTCTGATGTACATCTACATATTTAGCACATCTATAAGGGAAGAAAATAACTGTCACATTTTTTATTATGAGACATGAGAAAAAATTTCTACATTTGCAGCAGGATCAACTTTTCTGTAAAATACAAAGATTTAAAAATTTTCTTCTAAAGAAAAAGGATTCTGTTTTTGTATAGGCTTACCAAATTGTGGCTGAGGGTTATGTAGGTGTTATGGGGAGATTAAGAGTGTATGCACATATATGTATGCACATACATGCCCACATATATTTTAGCAAAGCAGCATTTTGGGAGCTGTTGCCAACTCTTAATGTTTCACAAAGGGAAATTTTTAACATACAGCTGTTTCACTTTTGTCCATACTTCTTGCAGAAGTACATGTAGTTGTGCCCAAATTTCATTGTCATTTCAGTGGGATGTCTAATTACCCAGGAAAACTGGAAGTTCTAGAAGTATTTAACTCAAAGGCAAAAAAACAAGTCTTAAAAGTAATTCAAATATGAAATACATGCCTTACAACATTTAGCAACCCTGGCTAAAATTGATATCAAGTAAGAGGTTCAGAACTGAGACTAAAATATTATTATTTATAGTCAGGGTCATCTTCAGATGCCACAAGACTGGAACTGCTCGTGCCGTGTACTTGGCAGTAATGTGGGAAGGCACAGTCATTGTCCAGATAGTTCCCACAGGAAGCATTATTATCAGTTCCCTTTTCTTTGGTCGGAGTACAAATAGAATTACTTTTATTATTTTGACTTTATATTATTTTAATTTATAATATTGACGTATTCCCCTATAATAATTTGGAAGTGCAGTTATGTGGGATGAAATGAACATCTTTCTCTGAAATCACAGTAACGATGAGGAGAAAGAAAACCGTATTACCCAGCTGGTAAACCGATTTATATAGTTATATAGCCCTGACTATAGCTACGCAGCAGCCATCACTTGGACTGCTTTTAGACAGTTTGGGGAATTTGGTGTGTCAGCAACTCACCTGAAGGCAGCTTTATCTACTGCTGGAGAAGGAGTAATTTCTTCTTCTATTTTTAAAAAGATGCATATTTGGTAACTTGTGGTCATGAATAGTTTTGCCAGAATAGTTACAGATGTATGCAACAGTTTATATTGTCTGACTTTTCTATTTATTCGTAGCATGGATAGTTTCATAGCTTTAAGAAATGTTAAGGAGATTAGATGTTTGGCCTCTTAATTAAAGTTACCAGGTCAAGCCTATGGCTGAGGCAATTATCACATGTTATTACTGTGACTTACCTTTTCACATGTGGTAACTGCGATTGTGAAACTCTCCACATAGGAAAATGTTTTGGTGTCAGTCCAAGGTTTCTTCACCATAAATTTATCTACCGTTGTTTCTTACAATTGGAGTAGAATTAAGAGAAGTGGAAAAGAAATACTGTGTCTTTTTTTTCTCTTAGCCAGAAACTTACAGGCATTTTTCAGTTTGGTTCTAATATAAGAGAATATTCTGGGCTACAGAGTAGCCTTTCAAAAGCTAGGATTAAAAATTAAATATAGCTACTGTATATGAGGTTATAGTAGGTTCTGCCCTTCCTCAACTTTGCTTACCTATGCTCTTTGGAGCATGCAAAGCAGTGAAGTATTCAGAAATCTACCCCGTAAATGACTTCTTGGATTTAGGAACATCCACTGTCATTAAAGAAAACATGATGGTCTTCCTTCCTTCATTGGAAAACGAGACAGGCAGATGAAATAAAACTTCTGTAACAGAGCAGTCTTGTCTTCAGAAAATCACTTTTTGCTTTCTCTGTCAGGATCAAAAACCAGGGGAATGTGTGTTTGTGTGTTTGTGCACTTATACACCTGTCTACAAATATATTAACAAAAACATAACATGAATATTATATATAAGCATTTCTGAATATAGAAAAATTTGTGTGTGCATATACATATAGTGTATAAAGGCTACATTTAATAGTTTCTTTTGATGTTGAGATTACTGATGATTCAAAAGATTAAGTATTGTTAGATTCTTTCTGCATCTCAATAATGTTAATAAAATACAAATATTTTAAGAGGTTCTTTGACCACATATATTTCAAATCAATTAGCATTAGCCTTTCATTTAGTGGTGGCTTGTGCTAATTTCTTTATAAGCTATGTGTGTCTGTGTGCAAACAGCATAGACAAAAAAAGACATTCCAGAATCTCCAAAAGAATGTGGCATTAGCTTTTACAAACACAAAGATTGCCATAATTACTCTCAGTATCATGGAAGTTTCTGCCACCGATTTCAGTGATCGTAAGATTATTAATTCTTGTGAGATTTTGCTGGCCCTTCCTGAAGGCCACTTGAACTTAACTTTTTTTAGTAAGACAATCAATTTAAAAAAACCCACAAAACTATTTTATTTGAGACAACTCCTGAAAGTCCTCTTTACATACAGTTCTTTCTCAGCTCAGCAGAAATTTTACATACTAGTGACTTCCTGGGTTGGATCATTGTTCCTGGCTCGGATCATTGTTCCCCAGTTTTGCAGTGGGAGCCATCCTCTCAGCTTTGGTGAGATTTTGTCGCAGGATCTGAACCTTGTTCTATAAAAATGTATTTTTAATGTGGCCCCAATTCAACAAGCCATATATGCAAATACTTATGTCCAAGTAATCAATTCAATATGAATCGCTTGATTATGCAGCATGACTGTACAGCTCATCAGTGCATATCTGAATGAGATTCCCAACTGTAGGGAATTGGGTTTGGGAATGTTGGCGATGACTTCAAAAATGTGTTTGTAAGGATTACCATGATTTCACTCATATTGCTGTCAGTAAAACAATGTAAAGTTACACCACGGACAGATTTTAAAATCTTAGTTCTTAACATGTCAGCCCCATACAAATCTTGCATTTTCTTTTCTTTTTTTTTTTAGCTATAATGGCATTTCTGTTTGACCTAAAGGCTTTAGTGGATATGATGTCTATTGGTACACTTCTTGCTTATTCACTTGTGGCAACCTGTGTCCTCATTCTTAGGTGAGTCAAAACCACCCTTTCCATTCTGGTGTGTTGTGTTGGCCAGTATATAAACAGAAGTGACATTTACAGTGTGTTTTTTGCTAGATAGCTAAATATTTAAAAATTAGCTGTATGCATATAAATAATTACTAAGAAGCAGTGACCCATCGGAGAAAACACTGATATATTGTCATATCAGTATAACAGTTAGTGAAGTTAAAGCTTCATGTGAAATCTAGACACCTTTTATTTCCAGAAGATGTATTGGTCCAAGCATTAGTCCCAAAGGTACTAGATGTAAGCTTGTGTCCAAAGTTCAATTAATGATACTTTGATATGAATACAATCTATGCTGTACATCAGGCCTATTACATTGTGGGGGCTATATGTGAAAAGTGTAGATGTTCTAGGTAGTTCACAGGATGAACAAGTTCAAATAATTGTTTTGTATTACCCTAGTCAGAAACATAACGCCAGATGAGCGTTTCAAGATGTGGTAGCCCTAGAAGAGAGTACAAATATTCTCTCTCAATGAGTGAGATTATAAATACTCGTCAGTAAAACTCTGGTATCTGTTGTGTTTGTAAAGCTACGGAATAATATTGACATATTGGTAGCTACAGCTCACTTTATTATATATTGGCCATTTTAATTTTAAAAGTCAGTCTTTATTGCTTAAGGCTAAGTAATTAACTTTGACAACTATAACAGCTTAAATTCAGCTCAAATTCAATGTTGCAATAATTTACACTTTAAAAGAGAAGACTATTTTATCCCATAGTGACTTATTTAATGTATGTATTTTTAAAAATACACTTAAAATCTAACAAAGCAGATGTAAAATTTCAGTTTATGCCAGTTAGTAGGCCTCTTACAGTACGGGAAGCAAGTCAGAATTAACTTGCCACTGCTGAAAGAAGCTCCCCTACCCTTTCCCTGCCATTGACCACCAGACCCTGTCCCCTCTTTTTGTACGAGTCTGATCATTTATCTGACCCATTGGCGCATTCACATAGCTTAAAAAACTGCCAAAAAAATCCCCACACAAACACAGCAACAAAGTGAGTTGCCATAGGTTTTTTATATATGATAGTGACTAATAATATGGGCTGTTGCAGTGCAGTTACAAATTGGGAAATGCTAAATCTCTGCTGCAAATTTAGTATTTAAATACATTCCTAGAGTCATATTGCTTCATATCCCAAAGTAAGCTTAATTTTTTTATTATCCTGTTTGTTTTATGCATAGGTACCAACCCAGTTTAACCTACGAGCAACCAAAATATTCTCCAGAAAAAGCAGCTTTGGCTGCATCTGAAAGGGAATCTGCAGTAAGTGAATCACAGATAAATATGATACAAGAGAATCATTTCAATCTTCAGGCCCTGCTTAATCCGTCCAGTTTACCTACCGAGCAGACTGCAACTACCGTTAACTTTTTAGTGGGTCTCTTGGGTAAGTATTCAACTGTCCAAATTCATATAATGCATTAACATAAATAATGGAATTTTATTAAAGACAAAATTAAAAATCCAGTGATAACATGCCTTCTTTCAGTCATAATTAATGTGTCATTCTGCAGAATGCTTTTATACTTCTTGATGGATCTAATCTGTAGTCCACTATATTTTCCTTTAATTAAACATTTTCATGATAACATTTCATACTGAAGACCTGCCATCGTTCTTAAAAATTACGTCCTCTTCAATGCAGAGATTAAGTGACCTCTTTCCCATTTCCATCGTTTTGTTTTTCACACAGCTTTCTTGGTTTGTGGCTTGAGTGTCCTCACTACTTACGGGATTCATTTCATTGCTAACTTGGAGCCTTGGAGTATTGGCCTTCTTGCTGTGTTGGTGGCGTCCTTCATAGTTACCATTCTCCTCATCCAAAGGCAGCCTCAGAACCAGCAGAAAGTGGCGTTTATGGTGAATAACATATTCTCTATGTTATTCTCTAATGAGAGGTTTGGATGGATTCTAACAAGTGGGAGAGGGGCAGGGAAA